AATCGAGCCTGATAGCTGCCATGGCGAACTATCTCAGGTTTGATATATATGATTTGGAGCTGACGAACGTTAAGCGCGACTCGGATTTGAGGAGGTTGTTGCTGAGGACTGGGAACCGGTCGATACTCGTAATCGAGGATATCGACTGCACGGTTGAGTTGCCAGATAGGAATGGTACTAAAGGGCCTGTCTCTGGTTCGGATGGGCAGGGACAGTGCTATCGGCCTCGGGATCAGCAGGTCAGTAGTTATGTTGTCTTTTCAACACTTAGTTAGTTATAGGGTGTTAGTTAATTTTAAGGTATTATAGAAAAAACTAAGGTTTCGTAACGGATTTTAGCGTTTAGATATATATGCAAGTTAGTTATTGTAGATAATCTATAACTGAAATCTTTCACGAACCATTGTAGTCTTTTCCATTATTATTATGCTGTTGACTCTGGCTAAATTGAAAATTTATTGTACCTGACTGACTATCAAGTGTTATGGTGGGGGTTCATTTTACAGGAAAATGAAATGGTTGGTCATTAACTACCCTGTTTTAAGAGTATTTTGGGATGTTTGATGCTACTTGTGTATTCAATTTAAAATAGTAACTAATTAAGTGAGATTATTGTTGTGTAGATCTAATGGTTAAATATATATATTTTTTCAATAGATATAATTACTTTCGAACTGAAATATTATACTTCTGAAAAATAATATAAACATAATCATGACATTTCATAACACGAATTAAACATTGTTTGCTTAAAAATTTGTCGTATGACAGATCGATTTGTCTGACGTTAGGTAGTTTCACACAACGATTTTACGTAATAAAAATGAATTTTCCTTAAAGATCAAGAAATTTAAGAACAGAGCTTATATTCACAAGTTGTACTGAAAAGCAACACATCAATGTGAATTTGTACATAATTGATATGATTCAATGAATTGAAAGTTTCACTATCCCACTAAATTAAGACCCCTTACAGAAGCATTCCATTTTTTTTTTCCTGTAGTTCACGCTTTCGGGACTGCTCAACTTCATAGACGGTCTCTGGTCGAGCTGTGGCGACGAACGCATCATCATATTCACCACAAACAACAAGGACAAGCTGGACCCGGCCCTACTCCGCCCTGGCCGCATGGACATGCACATCCACATGTCCTATCTCACGCCCGAAGGGCTCAAGCTCCTGGCCCGTACTTACCTTGATGTCCCCAAACATCACCCCAACCTCATGGAAATCGAGACCGTGATCAAGGACATGAATGTTACCCCAGCCGAGGTTGCCGAGGAACTCATGAAGACCGACGACGTTGATGTCTGCCTTCGTGGGGTGCTCGATTTCTTGCTCGACAAGAAAAGTAAAATCGAGAATGATGAACGTGAAGGTGAACTCGGGCAAGGCAATTGACAAGTCCAAAATTCTACAGTTTGTTCTTGGGGATTTCAGAGATTTTAGTAATATATTAGCTAGTAATTTAGAGTTGGTTTCAAATTTTCGGACTGCTTTTTTTTTTTTTTTTTTTT